CATTTCAAGCTTAATTTGAGATTTTTGATGTATTAATTTGAATTACTGGTGGCGTAAAATATTTATTGTTTGTATTATCAGTGGTTGATGGTGTTTCTGTCTTAGCACAATTTTATTTCAGCTCTTTGTTTTTTGTAGAATTATCTTCGCTGTGACTCTGGTCTGGCAGGCTGTTCATTTAGGAAAATGTAAGGAAAATTTTGAAATTTTGTGGTGTGTCCCGTCCCCGCCCCACCCTCACCCCGCCGTTTTTCCCTGGTATGTTTACAGTATGCATTGCTTTATTACAAGCTACACTTCTTTTCCGTATTCGCACTTCTTGTGAAGGCCTTGAAAAAGAAGGACGTGAAGAAGATGTGAAAAGCCTTAATGCCACAGCACAAAAGCTGCAGCCGAAGAATGAAGGGACTATTGTAAATGTTCTCAGTGACATGAATCAGAGCTATGAAAGCAGAAAGCAACAGAATTCCAGGGCACTGGTACCTTTCACGGGGATTACAGAGAGTAGGTAACATTATTTATTTAAACGATGCCTTAAAATTGCTTTTGAAAATATTATATCACAGTAATGTTTTGACCGTTGTCCTGAAAGATTCCAGCCGATTGGTTTTCTGTGGCCACTTACTTAAACTATTCACGTGGCCACTTGGTGATAAAATGGTGATAAAAATTTAAGGTAGAACCGGAGATTCCTTAACTGCAAAAGGTGGTAACGGAAAACAGGGAAGGATTTTAGGAATTAAGAAGGGGTTGGTTGGTCCCTTGGATTTGCAAAATGTTTGTGAAATTTTGTAAAATTCTGTTCATTTTTTAAAATTCACCATATTTCATGACCAAAAATTATTTAACATAAAAAAGTTTAAGCTGTCTGAAAGCAACAGTACTAACAGGAAATAAAAACAAGCACAGACTTATGTTTCCTACCATGTATGTAAAGCTTTAGATAGGTACTCAAACCCAGGAGTCTGAGAAAGGTTTGAAGGAGTGTTCCACTCCCCCCTCAAAACTAAGCAACTTTTCCCAGAAACAAAGCCTCCTTTTTTTCAAAAATAAGCACCACTTCCCGGAAACAATGCCTGGTTTCTTAGTGTGACTGAAACCTGCCTCCGTCAAAATGAAATATTTCAATTGAATATATGCTGCTGCTGCTATGGGGCTTTCCAGGTGTTGCTTCTTGACCATCCTGTAATCCCTAGCAGTTTGCTTCTAATCCTTAACTAAACAAACTGGTCTTAACTGAACAAACACTCCTAATAGGCAGATAATTTTATTGTCTCTAAAGAAAATAAAACTAGATATCCTTAAGATCCACTGGCAACTGGAGAGACCTGAGCGAACAAGTGAGGAAAAGGGAGGTTCAGAGCCCCCAGGACCATTCATAATCTTTGTAATATTGTCTTTCAGGTAAAGAACTGAATAGACACTGCTGCCAAAATGGAGGGACCTGTATCCTAGGGGCTTTCTGTGCCTGCCTAAAGCATTTCACTGGCAGATACTGTGAACATGATGAGCGGAAAAGGTAAAAACTGGACCAAAACCAGAAAGTGAGCGAGCTGCTCCGGGTGCTTATTTTCTGTGCTGGGATCAGGGACATACTAAATGTCTCCCTTGTCTTTGACAGCAACTGCGGCAGCATTTCCCATGGCGCCTGGGTGCTGAAGGGCTGTTGGCTGTGTCGGTGCGGCTACGGTACTCTGAACTGCCTCTCAGAAATAATGCATGATAACTGTGGTAAGGAATGGCATTACATCAACCAGTTTTACTTTGTGGGTAACAGAATGGCCTTCTACAAAGGTGAAGTGCTCAGAGGATGCTGTATTGCTCTATTTAAACTGTTGCAGTAGCATGCTTTTCTTCAGAGAATGCATCAGTGAGAGAGTAAATATTACTACTGTTGCCTGTATAGTATATCACAAAAAATACTTTGAGATCTTTCTAATCCTACACAGTAGGAAACTTTCCTCCATTTTGATTGAAAATTATAAATATTCCTCTGTTCCACAAAACCCGCTTATGCCTACGACTTCCCATGTAACCAAAACAGTTTGTACAACTAAACTATATCCAAGGATACAGAAATGTTTCTTAGAAGAGGAAAGAGAAAAAACGGTAGCAAGCTGGGGTGTTAGAAGCAGAATCCAGTATTGTGCTAAAGAAACACGTACAGTAAACTTGCAGGTTCTTGCATAAGCTGCTTAACACCTAAGTGGCAGAAAACTAATCTGAACCTTATTTTAAGATCTGTATTTTAATCTTCAAAATATTCTTGTACAGAGTTCTAAGACTGAACACACTCCACAAAAAAAAGTGTAGCTATAGTCCTACTCAGTGTAAAATCTCTACAAAGACTTTATGTCTTTATACATCTGCCTGTGAAAATCCCTCTCTATAAAGGCCTGAGTATTTTTGAAAACAGTGTATCAGCTAGCATAAAAACTTGAAGGATTGCTTTACAGGTACTTATTTTCCATGGAGAACTGGCTACTGAGATCCAGACTGTTTTCGGTACTCTGAGATGACCAATAAGAGTTTAATATTATTTTGTTTCCAGTGGCAAAGTTAGTGCAAAATATTCTTGCCCTTCTACATCTAGAATATCTCAACCCCACACAGTGCTGTGATATCCTTTCCTTCAGTTGTGCCAGCATCACTAGTTATCAGGGTAAGAAAACAACAGACTTAAATAGCTTCAAGATTCATTTGCACCCCAAGAAACTGCCAGCCGCTTCTTTCCTGATCAGATTCCTATCTAAGCAGCAGTGCATCAAAGCTGTGACTCCTGACTTATACACCAACTCGGATGTAAATACAAATTTCAAAACTTGAGCCTCTTAGGTCCCAAGGATATGCCCTATTTTTTCCCATTACAGGAGCAAAAGACTGCCATGCTCAGTAGAAGCAGTCTACTGCTTACTACTCTTGCGGTCAGCTTAACAAAAGGCAATAAAGGTGGCAGTGGAGAATCATCTGCTCCTCCTCTGAGCAGGAACGCGGTGGCTTTCACATGCATGAGGGTACGGCTTTCTGCCCTTACTAATAAATTACGTCCCTTCTTGTAAAGGGTTAAAAGGCTATATGCAGACTTGAGAGCATACCTCTTGTGAAGATCTTGCTCTTGCTTTTACCAGGTATTTACTTTTGATTATTCTGAGATTAATGCCAGCAAGAGCTGATAAGTGCTATCAGTTGCTCCTCAAACGATCATTGATGGGACATCTATTCACATCTCTCCCCTGAGAATAGGCTCTTTGATTGGCTTGAACAGCTAATACCTCTAACTTAAGTACCTGTGAGATGTCCGAGGACTTTCAAAGTATGTTGAAAACCCTTATGTTTTAAAATTCACAAACTTTACTCATTAACAGTTTTATTGGTGGTTTGTTTTGTTTTGTTTTGGTTTGGTTTTTTTTAGAACCGAAATCAGAAAAAGAGGAAATTACCAGATTATATTCTAATGGGCTAAGATTACAGCAAACAGTGTTCACACTCACTTGCCTGCTCACCGTCCTCCTGGAGCTCTGCTGCTGGCAGTTGTAAAACTGGGCAAAGGGAAGTATCTCAGGATTGATGTAACCCTCACCATGAGTCATACAACTTTTTTCTTCTGTGAGCTACATGAGACACTTCTATCGACATGTTGGAAGCAGATTAAGATGTATTAGTTAATGCTGAAATGCTTGGATTATTATACATTCAGACTATATGAATGTGAAGTATTTATTGTTATATTATTATTTTATTACTATTATCAACGTCTGATTTCTAATGCTTCTTTATTTCTAAAATACTCTTCTTCCAGTGGAAGCAAAAAACGCTCGATGTCCTATGCCTTATGTATTGTAAATTATAGAAATTTTCTTTGTACATGGTACAAGTATTTTAACAAATGAAGCTGATTTAATTTCTGAAGAGCTTTTATGTTTGGCTTTATTTAAACTTGAAAATTCTTATCTACCTTTTGTAGGTGTATTGTATCCTGTAACAAAGATAACGGCAGGGCTAGAACGAACAAACTCAAATTTGAAGTGATATGAAGGGTTTTAAGGGCAGGTATATTTCAAATCCTAATATAAAGAAAAAGTCTAAAAGTTAAATAGTCTTTCAGGTTTTATTACTATTTATCATAGCTAAATTCTACATATACATAATCTTAGGCAGGAAGCATATGTTTCTTAAGAACACATAGCTGATGCTTATTTATCTTTTGGTGTTGTATTTCACATCCTAGAAATTTTTCTTTTTAAAAGAACAGCAAAGAGCAACCTCTTTAAACTTTTTCTGTAGGAAGCCAGTCGTGATTTATATACCTTTTAAATATGAGTATTTCTAGGCTGTAAAATAAAAACTGTATGGAAACTGTAACCGCATTGGTAATGCAAGTTTATAAAACATCAGAAATATGTTTGTTTAAAAAAAAAGGAAAAGAAAAAAAATGAAAACCAGAACAAAACCAAAACTGCAAAGAGAAGCCCAAAAGGTATCTTCATTCTGGTACAAAAAACATTATTGATATATAAAACCCCTAATTATTTTTAAAAGTTCAATATATTTAATTCTTAAAATTTCTTTACTAATTTATTTGGTGCCATAAACCAAGACTACAGTCCAGTTATTAAGCAGAGATGGATGTATCACCAACAAATGACATAATATTGTGGCTGCCTTTGAATCTATGGCATTTCAGTAACAGACTTTTGCAGGGTGTCATTGTGTAAAAATGTATTCATGTTAAATACTGCAAAGGATTCAAACTGCTCCTTTCCACACCCTAGACTTGAATGGAGGGAGTAACATTTCTCACTCTTCACATAAGATACATTAGACCAGAAACAGTCCTTTTCTCATTATTCGCACAAACTCTCTGTACCCATATGCCTGTGTTTCCACAGACTTTGAAAAGGAGCTACCAGCTTAGGACAATTAAATATCAAAGAGAACAGCTGGAGGAAAATAGTCATGCCTTTATTTATCAGATGTTGAAATTGCAGGAATAAACCTCTTGGCTTGCTGTAAAGCATACCTGAGAAGTCTGTAGGCAATAGAGCTTGTAATGTCCTTCAAATAGGCTTCACTTTTTGAAGGAAAGCAGCAAGATATGTGGAAAGTACATAGAACAGTAAAATTATATCTGCAGTAATACTTATTTTTAATCCATACAAAAACATACAGAGCCATGAAAGTTTGCAATTAACAAAAAGAAAGAGTCGTCTAATACAGGATTTACAATAGAAGAGCTGTTTCTGTTGAGATAACATCCACAGTAGATTTAATCAGGAAAAGCTGGTCTGGAATGACTCCTTACGCAGATGAGCCTATGTGCCTGCAAGAGTCACCCCGATGGAGCTACACATTTTTGGGTCAGTATGACTTGAAGAATTAGACCAATTGAAAAGTCTAGCAAAGTAGTGTAAACCACTACTCACTCAGAATTCTGGGATTTGAAAATTTTCTCCTGTGTACCTGAAAGAAGTGGTAGAAGATTTTTATTCGTTTTTAAGATAACAGTTCCTTTTCTTTCTCTATCTTACGCCATTGCATTTTGTGTTACCAGAAAATCTGAAAATACTTTCTTCAGGTTCTTGTTTTACATCTACCATACTACGGCAAAACATATCCTCAGCAATGGGTAGTTGTGGAAGATGTTTGTCTGGTCTTTGTGTCAGGCCTCTGGAAGTTGCCCTGAGTAGGCAGAACAGAGCACAAAGTATGTAGTCCTTGCACACCTCTGAAGCAGAGGCAGGCAGAGGAGTTGAGTTTGAGGAGAAGCAGGTATCTCCTTAAGTTAAAGAAAAAAAGAAGAGAGAAGGGGGGAAGAAAGGTATTCAGAACCTGTTCCATGCATAGCCTCATTTGCTAATAAAAATGCAAGTAAGAAGGAAGAAAACAGAAAGCACTGAGGAACAAAGGAAAGCGCACAGTCACAACCTTTGCTTAGGTTAAAACTGTCTCCACTTTTATCTGTCTCCAGCTGCTTGCCAAAACAGATAAAAGAAAGCACTATTTCCCTCACTTGCTACCCTGTAGGCCTGGCCAACATTCTAACACTGCAATTACAGGCACTTTGGTAAGGTTTGTTTGTAGCAAACAACAATGCTTGCTCTCCAGCCTCATGCTAACTCTTCCTGGGCCTCTCTGTCAAACATGGCATGTCCCAGCAAAATAGGCATCTGTTGCCACAGGTTCATGCATGTGTCCTCTCAATATGCA